GACGGAATCTCGGTGATTTCGCCAAGCGGACACGTACATCCTTGAGCGCTGACTAAGCGGAATGTTCTAATCGATTCGTATCTCTCGCCTTCTTCTTGCGAGAAGCAGAAACAGTCGAGACAAGACAGGGAAGAACTGGAAAATAAAGGGAAAGAAAGTGACAAGAGATATTTATTATGTCATCAATTCAGGTACTAAGAGATGCTTAGGGGTAATCATACATCAGAGCACGCAAACCTAATTTTATTTAGAAAAGAAATATATAAAACATCGTGCTAACGAGAGCAAAACATGTTAAAATGTAATAGAATCGTGGCTTGTATTTTATTTTGTAGAAATACATGAAAAAAAAGAGAAAGAGGGAGGATCAATCAATCTTTGCGGAAATGCGTGGTATCCTTGTAAAGTTGAACGCGGAAGAACGCAAGTCCGAGAGAGACAGCTAAACGTGTGGGGAACAACTACCAAGCGCGGTCGAGGCCGACCAAGGCGCGGACTCCGAAGCGCACAGCGGTATTCGTGCGCCACGCGTAAGCTAGCGAATGTCGCTCCTGCTTGTTGTGTTCGTTTTGTACCTTGCGCGCAGTGTGACTACTCTGTCGTGCTGATTACGTAACGCGTAACCATGAGAATATCCCGGCGCTCGCGAGAATGTAACCGCGCCACGCGCGCGCGCGCGCGCGCGTGTCATCGCAGAACTGCTCGGTTATCGATATCTCGTAATATTTAAAACAAATCGGAGTATGTGCCTAACCTCTTGAATCCGTCTCAATTGATTGGCCATTATGATGGCTAATTTAATAAGATGCCGATTCCATCAATTATTTAAAATATTTATAATATTTATAATGTTTATAATGTTTATAATGTTTATAATGTTTATAATGTTGCATTAAATTTTTATTTATTGACACTAATATTTTTTTAATTATTGCTACGCAATGAATTTTTAGCGTCGATGATTATCACAGTCCAAAAGAGAATTACGCGTTGAAAATAATTGAGAATCGCTGCTGGTCTAGCGCGAGCGTGCAAGGTTCACCGTGTGCTCGTACATACGCACACGTGTAGGCGTGTATGGCGCGCGATGACTTGTGGGATGAGCGCGCGCAAAGGCGTATGTCTCTTGTCTAGGAATCGTTGTGTAGTCGATATTAGGAAGTAATAACATTTTGCTTTATTACACGATATTAATGAATGTAACGTCGACAAGGAAATCTCACTGTTCGACAAACGGAATTATTCTTCACATATAAGCAAAACTCATATAATTATAATAATACAAAAATAGAAAATTTTGTGTCTCACGCTAGTTGGTAATTGCTTATATTACAATATTCTTCTTATTAAATACATATGTTAACAATCTTCATATTGGTTAACTTAATTAAACGTTTCGATCAATATTTGATTATCCTCGGTAATTAAAATATAGTTGTAGAATATAATTTCTGTTTGAGGTCATGCTGTAAAATATGGAAACAATCAAGTGAGTCAAACAATATAAAAATTATAAATTAAACAAAAAGGAATCGAGAAACTTTGAGACCATTATCTAGATGTATAAAAATAATTACATTTTAGTGTAAATCGTGTTAACAATGCCAACGATAACGGACGAAGAGAGAGAGAGAGGAAGCACAGAAATATGGAAAGGAATGATTATAATATAGGCACGGAATCCTCTGTTTTTGTATTATTATTATCTCATACGTGCCTTTCTTTCTTTATTCATATAATAAATTTTATAGATTAATTTTAAGATTAAATATAAACAATTGATAGTTATTAGTTTCCACTTCTGGCTGCTTGTGTCATTAATTTGATATAACTACACTTTTACACGAGGAAGTGACAATGTTCTTCTTTTTCTTTTCTCTTTTTCTTTTTTTTTTTTTTTTTCAATCCGATCGAGCTCACGAATAGTGAATTAATCGTGTAAGCAGCGATAGCGCAAAATTATACCGCGTGAACATGTTGCATCGAGCAATAGTATACCAATTACGACGCGATTTTTATTTACGTAATTCCTACGCGCATATTAATGAAACATTTTGCTGACGCTTTTTCCACTCAGAAACGCGTAATAAAAGAATAATCTTAAAATTGATGAAAAAAATGATACAAATTTTATGAAAATGTAATAAATTATACCAGGATTTTAATTATTATAACAAGGATCAGTATAAATTAAGTAAGAATTCAGAACAGAAGAGAGCAATTTTTATATTTGCCAAAACATTTTTTTTCCATCTAGGTTACCAAGAAACACCATTGTTGACTGTCACATTTATCTCACTCGGCATAATGTAATCGTAAATTAAGAATTATTCGTCGGATTATCTACGATCCTAATATTTGTATTGTTTCGAATGAAATAATGTGGAATTAATCGTCGCAGTGTCGTCGTTGAATTCATATATTTTGAGAGTTCTCCTTTTCCGCACACACACGCGTCTTATAGCAGAATAAAACGAGAAACCGGTCGCGCTCACGCGAATATCGGAACGACTAAGTAAACATGAGAGCGAGAGAGTCTCTGTTGTTCGGTGCTGGTTTTTTTCTCGCGCACGTTGCGTTTCGGAGAATCGCAGTTGTGTACATTGTCGTAGTCTTCATTTACATCTGCTAGTGAGCCTTTTTCTCTCATCAGGTTTCTCCTCACGAATTATCAAAAACACATCGATACTTGAATGCCACCGGCAGCGTTAATAAAAATAAAGATTATTTTCGTCGTGAGAAAGAATGAATATAAAGAGCAAATGTACAAGTAAGTTTGTAAGTAAAGTAACTTTGTTATCGCGATAATTTTGTCGGTAATTTTAGATCGAATAAGCTTATTACATTAACGTTCAAAATGCGTGATATTGTTCCAAAGCTATACATGCAATCCAATCGATTCAAACTTGTGACGTGAGATTTATTTATATTAACTTTGTGGGCTCATCATTGATTGACGCTCGGTGTTTATTTCTGTCTTTATTTTTCTCTGACAAAGCGAAGTTTCGGATAACACGAAAGTCAATTTGCTGCATGAGCGAACGGTGCAGGAATACGTAACGTGTAGAATTGCTTTAGTAATCGCGAATAATTTGCACGACTGAAACCAAGAAATTAAATATTCAGAAAGTCAATAAATTCTATAAAATCTCAATAATAATAAATCATTATTTTTTTCTTACAAAACATTATACAATAAATTTGCAGTAAATTAATATATTAATAACGTTGCACAGTATGTTTGGAAAAGTTTGAAATCAGATGAATATAGTAAATGGCCAATCGCTATTTATTTTTTGGTTAAAAACTCTTCATACGAGCCATGGCTTCGATCTCTGTTAGCGAATGCGATACAAATCGAGAATAGATCCTTTATTTATTCAAATCATTGCGTAAAATGTTGTAAATCATAAATTTTAACACACTAAAAATTCCTTTGCCAACATTTGCAGAGTCACATTCGAATTGACTGTTAATATTTGACGAACCCTTTTCGCGAGATCTTCCGTCGAAGTCGTTTTCGGACATCTCGACCATTCGTCGTCTTCCTTCTTAATCCTCCATGCCGTTTCTAAATCTTGCAAACCATTGAAGAACTTGTGTATCGGCTGAACAATCGTTTCTGTAAATTTATTTCAACATATTATAAGTTTTCGTCGAATAATATCGTCGAATTTAACACAGAATTTGATAGAAATTCGCTTAACTTTTTAAAATTAATTAAATTTAATTTTCCTGAAATTTACCATGTATTAATTCTATACAATGCATTTTTTCTCCAATCAGCATATTCTCTCATATTTATTTGAGAATGTAGGGCATTCCAAAATGATTGGTTATCGAAAAGATCATTATATCTCGCGAATATCCCACCGTTTTTCGTTTCGTGCATGTTGCAACGCGAGATCGTCTTGTTACGCGTTGCATCGTTCGATCACGTAATCTGATCTCGCCGTGAGTGTTTTCTGCTTTCACGAGCTAACTGCTTCTCTCGTATCCTGTGATATAGTTGGATGTTCCTGGTAGAATTGCAGATTCCGATCGTTAAAAGTTGATCTCTTCATTCTCTCTTCCTCTTTGGAGCATCGCCTCACATCGCCATGGTGTCGGTGTTGCCATTCACCGTGAATACCGTACGTACACTTGGGTTCTGATCACTGACAAGGTCGCGCAAGGTCGTGCAATCATGCTGCATCTATACGCCATACGTGGCACAGCATGTGTGCACATATATGTGCGATGCAGGTGGACAACATAAAGTGCAATTTGCTATTGTACAAGTAGAATCTTCTAAGCTTAATCTTTGAATAAAATTTTTGAATATATTTTCAATTTTTTATTCTTGATTAAAATTCTTAATTAAAATTTACAAAGGCTTTTTCTTTCGAAAATGTTCCGTTATTTACGAATAATACCAATACTGTCGTTTTATCTTCGCACTTCGTATATGCGTCTACCCACACACATGATTCACGCACGAAAGCAACAAACGGCTCCCGGTATCGATTTCAATGCGTAGAAAATGCTATTGATTTCCTCCGCTGACCCGATGACCTCTTCTCTCCATGGCGCCGATCCAAGATGAGAGACTGAGGCTTTTTACTATCCTATTTTTGATCATTATTTTAATCTTATTTTACAATATGATAAAAATTTTACAGAAGAATATTTTCCAAATATATAAAAGATTTCTAAATCGCATTAGTAGCGACATTGAAAAATGGGTTGTTAAGGAATAGATTACTATAAAATGCTACAAATGAGCTCTCAAAAATCTTTATTCAATCTTTCGATTTCGATTCGGACTTACATAATGTAAAATACTTTAATTTTGAAGACATATTGCTCTCTAATATTAATAAAAAATTGTATCTGAAAAATAAAATTGGTAGAAAGTTCTAATCAAAGTACAACATAATGTAATATAAGGCAAGATTAGATTTTTAAGAAACGCGCATATTCCTTCACACAATACTAATTGCCATGATTTTTTGCGGCAGGTTACGAGTGAAACAGACACGATAATCTCTGGCCGATGAAGAGTAGAACAGTACGAAGACGAGTAGTAGAAGGAGCAGCAGTACGAGTAAGAGTGAGCGGCTTCGTCATCGTAGAGGGTGGTGGCGGTGTGCAAAAGCAGGAAAAGAAACAGGGACGAAGTGGCGGCGGCAGCAGTGGCAGCGGCAACGGCGGCAACGCAGCGACAAGCCATCAGGTCCCTCCATGTTAGCGGATATCAACGGCAACCTGACGGACTTGAGAAGCGAAGCGATGGCGTCGCAGAGGTTCTGTCTGCGCTGGAACAACCACCAGAGCAACATGCTTTCCGTCTTTGATCAGCTGTTACACGATGAGTCCTTCGTCGATGTTACGCTGGCCGTAGAGGGTCAGCTACTCAGGGCGCATAAGATGGTGCTGTCAGCGTGCAGTCCCTATTTTCAGGTAAGCCTCATTTTTCATGACTTATGGTGTTTATTGTTTAATATTTAAAAAAGTAAATAAACTCTATTCATAGTAATCGAATCCTGGTGACATAAACAATTGACAAAACTTTCAGAGGAGTAGATTGTAATGTAGAGCTGTCATGCAGTTTGTAAGAGAAAAATTTTGTAGCTGACGTAAATAATATATTTACAGGCCTTGTTTGTCGGTCATCCTGACAAGCACCCGATAGTCATCCTCAAGGATGTTCCGTACGTGGACATGCGCAGTCTTCTGGACTTTATGTACCGTGGCGAGGTGAGCGTCGACCAAGATCGGCTAACTGCCTTTCTTCGTGTAGCCGAATCTCTAAGGATAAAGGGCCTGACCGAGGTAAATGAGGACAAATGCGATTTGCCGAGCATTACGTCTTCGCTGCTGGGTGGCAGTCAGAACGCAGTGGCACCACCGCCACCCAGCCTTCATCGGATCAACCAAATTGGTCCACATCATCACCATGTAGCGCAGAAGAGATTTCATCACATGTCCAATCATCCGTTACTTGGCTCAGCGCTCACGGCGCCTAAGAGGAAGCGTGGTAGGCCCAGAAAGCTGAGCGGTTCGTCAGACACGCCAATCGGCGAAATCGGTAGTCAGGATTTGCAGTCTTGCTCGGGCGTTGATCTGGTCCAGGGTTCGCCCGAAATGATGGAAATGAAGATGGGGCTGGACTTTCAGAGTGAAGTCAGCGGTAACAGCAACATGAGGAGTGGCAGCAGCGCTGGCACCTCGTCCGCTAATAACGTTGGCGCTAACTCTGCTGCCAACAATTCTGCCACAGGCTCCTCCGGATCGTCGTCGACGAGGAGAGACGAGCCCACAGAGAACGGCACCGACACGCCGGAGCCACCGGTTACGCGAGTCAAGCGGGAACCGGAACCAACACCGAGTACCTCGGCGCAAGGTAAGAAAATCAGGACAGAATAATGCGATATCGAATTCAAATCGAGAACAGAAAGTGACATTCGTTAACGTTGATTCTAGCATCGGATGAGACATTCGCGCGGCCGCACAGTAGACAAGGAAGTGAGGGTTTTAAGCAAGGTAAGCGATCTATAGTGTATTCGACTTTGATACGAAAGCGATGCACCACTAACATTATCTTTCTCATACAGCGCGAATGCCGAATTTAATCTTTTACACATGATTTGTGTGAACAAATCCACCTACCTCGCATATCATATTATCTTTAAATATTCTTGAAACGAAGAGTTGTGCGCGTTTGTAGATTATAATTCCTTAGATAAGCGATTATGCAATGATTCGTGCACAGTTTATATTGCCAATTAATAATGCAAGACTACGAAAGTATTTAGCGAAATATTAACTCCGTTAGATTTGACTTTCTTCTGTAATAAAATATATATATCAAGTATGAAGAGAGATTGCATTTAAATTAAAACAATTTTATTTTTACTTTTTACAAAATTAAAGTACATGTAAGTGTGCAGATCTGATGGGGTTAATTCTTTAATTAACCCTTAAAAGGCCGCAAAAAATATTTCTTGTTTTTATTGATGTATAAAAATATTTCTTATCATTCTTGTAACTCTAATCATTAATTTCAAGAATGCATTTACAAAAGCTGCATGAGGTAAGTCATAAGATGTAGGATGCAATGCGCGCCTAAGGGTTAATCATAATCATGTTTCAATAAAATCGTGCAAAACTACGCGTCAGTAGTATAGAATAAATTCACGCATTTAATCGCAAATAATACTCTGCCAAACGCCTAAGCATAATATTAATTATGATTCCCAGAATTCGGGCGCCGAGAAGAATATTAGATTGTCCTAACAATTTATATCTTTTATATATAATATTAAATCTCAAGAGTTTAGAATGATATATAACTCATCTTTTATTCATAATTCATAATAAAATTAAAAATTAAAAATTAACCCCCCTAAGTGTTCCTGATGCATATATACGTTATTAAACAAATATTTTTCATAACTTTTTTATTAATTAATATTTAAGGGGTTAAGAGCTAAATGGAGTGCATTAATTTTTGGTAATACTATATTATAGTTGTCGTGAAACATTTTTCTCCATGCAAACTCGAGGACGGGGAAGAATTCGCTTTTGTGCCGTCCGAATGCTTATTTGCTTCCTGTGAAAGCGCTCTCAGGAGCAAGCGAACAAGCAAGCGAATCTCGCGCAATTTTACGGACAACGCTGTAGACTCTCTACGTGAGAACGACTTTTGTGACTCTCTCACGCGATTCGTCGAGGTCGATCGACGACGTCTGAGAATTTCAGAATTAGAAGTTCGACCCGAATGGAAGAGAGGGAAGAGCTATCGATAACACAATTATTTAAGTCTAGAAACTAGCACTTTGCGTGGATTTTTGTTACGCACGTTATCGTTCTGAACGACACTTTATCCTATGTGCTAACAAATTTGATTTTTCAGAATCCTTTGAGCTACATTGTCGCGGTTCACCTGTTGTTGTCGCCTTTCTGCGAGCGTGTGCTCCTTCCCTTTTTTTTTATCTCTTTAAGGAGGTGGCCAGGAATTGCGACACTCCCAACAACATTAATGTCGAATTCGCGACAGCGAATTGTGCAGAATTATTTTCAGAAACCATGATCCCGATAATCGCGGCGCGCTAACTAAGCTACAGTTAGCTGCGCTTCAAAATTCTCTCGCGAGTTTGATAATTTTTGAAACGAAACGCACACGAAAAGAAAAAGAAATGGAAAAGAAAAACAATTTTGACGCGAGAGAAAATTCTGCGTCTAGAGGAGCTTGTGTCTCCAAAAAAACGCAATTTTCCGACAATAAAACGACAGTAAAATAATTTTCCTTCCCAAGCCAAACAAGTAGTAGCGCGCTTGTGAAGATAATTGTATGTGAGATACGTGTATCGATACGCGCGCGTGGTGTTTAAATCGCTAGAAGAAAAAAAAAAAAAAGAAATGTAAATAAACGAAAAGATGTATATAGATATATATAGAAAGAAAGAGAGAGCGAGAGAGGAAGAGAGAGAGAGAGAGAAAGACAGAGATAGAGGAAGCCATCTTCTCATTAATGAAAATTCGCGTTCACTTAGAATCTGGAGTATACCATAACGTCCTCATAAACAAACCGGGAACTTCCTTCAGTGCGAACGTTTCCTAAATTAATTGATTTCTGAAAGCCCATTGCACTCGCCGTCGGTTATTGTTCTCATACGTACAATACATTTTAGATATATATACATATTTATATACATGTGTGTGTGCGTGTGTGTGTGCGTGCGTGCGTGCGTGCGTGCGTGCGTGCGTGCGTGCGTGCGTGTGTGTGTATAGTATAATATTAATTTATTATATATATATATATATATATATATATATATACACACACATATACACACATACGTACACACATGTAATAACCCATACGTTATTCTCACGTAATTCTCACGCTTGGCCAATGTGCAGCGCCTCGTTCCTATTCCTTTTCTTCCTCTTCGGTGCACAAACCACCTTCATTTTGCCTCTTCATGACCAATCTGCGTCTTTTTCTCTGCCGCATCATACTTGTCACTCTGTTCAACATCTCGAATCTCTAACGTCGTATAATTGGCATTTTCTTTCCTAACATCCTTGTACCTCGTTTACCACGTTCTCTTTTTCGAAAATGAGAAACGCTTCGCTGCCATTGGCCAATGGTAACAGGAGGGGGTGGAGCCAGCTTTTAGCTTACTTTTTTTTGTTGTCTGATTTTTACACCTTGAACGCTGGTTAACTTCTTTTACGCTCGTTCATTGCAAGGAAAGTAGAATAAAGAAGTCTCATTTTTTTTATGGCAGAAAGACAGACAGCAAAAAGAGAAAGAAGAGATGTAAACGCGTCGATGATGATAATCGTGATAACGATGATAAAGAAGTATGTATATTTAAACAACGGACGACGCATTGTCGGCAGGTTTATCGCTTCCGCCTTCTCTTGCGTTCTTCTCGTTGCTTTAGACGATGACGACAATGGAAAACAGATAAATATAGCAAAATGAAAGATAAAAATAGAAATAATATAGATAGATTAGTGTGTAAAAATGAAGAAGGGTGACAAATTGAGAAAGAGGAAAATCAAAAGAGAACGAAATAGTGTGACGTACGTTTCTTTTTTCCTTTTGATAAAGATGTACTACGTATACGTGCGCGCGCGCGAGAGAGAAAGAGAGAGAGAGACAGAGAGAACGAGAAAGAGTGCTTCGAAGGTGTCGTCGGAGATGATCTCGTTTCGTTTAGTGACCGTGATCGCTTTGTTCACTTTTGGCGCAGGTGAGTTGAGATTATCTGAATCACCATCATTCGATCTCTGAGAGATATAAACTTTACGCGGGGGAAGCGAGGGAACTAGGGAGGCCAGCCGCTAGAAAAAAATAAAAAATAAAAACAAATCAAAGTCATAGATAAATTGATCGAACGAAAAGACGGAACCGTTTCGAAAAGTGCCGAGGAGGAAACCGGATGTAGAAGAATATAACGCCAGAGGCTGAAAGCGATGTATGAATTGATATATAATAGTATATATATTCGAATCGAATTATATACAGAGAGTAATGTAATAAAACGTACATGAGGAAGAGAAAAACGTTGCTTTTTTTTCTCGAGCGTCCTCGATCTCGATGAATCGTCGTCTTCCCATAGAGATGGATACAAGCAGAGACTGACTGGACGCACTGGACCGAAGGGGGTTGGCGAAGGGTGCGCATGTGTCACCGGTAGTGATATCAATCAGTTTGCATATATGCGTGATGTATTATAAAAGGGAAGATACGGTGCTTCCTGTCGATAGTAGATTCCAAGTGGAAAAACGCTACATTGAGAGAAAAAGTGTGGATTTCAAACACATTTTTTTATTCAACTACGTATTTTGCCGAGTACAAAATAATGTTCAACTAGTCCAATTCAGTAACTCTATTTATTTACCATTTATTTGCGCTATTTATTATCGCTATTTATATCGATCACAAAATTTACTGTTTATCGAATCAAAATAAGCAAATGTTGTTTTATAATTTGTTGACGAATCTGTTGACATTACTGACATTTGTCTGAAACATGTAAATATTCAAACTAAGGAAATGATTATTAGTTAAACGTATTTAGTCGTGTCAATAACTATTTTTTTCAGTGTCTATTTGAAAAAATTTACTCTTTTTACTTAAATTAAATCGCGTCAAGAGCATCTGTTCAAATCACCGAATGTTTTTGAATCACAAGTTTAATCCAAGTTGATCGAACACGCGAACTGACAGGTGCCCCGCAATTGGCCGACTTTGACTTGGTTTATCGACTCGAGAGATTCATCTTTGCACTCCTCTCGACATTCGAACAAGTGCAATAATTTTCAGTTTTCCTTTCGGAATCTACAATCGAATTAAAGTGTCGTATCGTACGACATCCCATATATAATATACAATATCAATATTATATTAATTTGATATTAATATGATGATGATAATATTTTCTATAGACTTGTACGTATGTTTACGGAGATGCGAATGCATGTGAATGGAGGGTGTGCATGTGTGATGGATGTACGATGAGAGAAGACGTAAGGAATGCATGTATGAGAGAAAGGATGGAAAGTTTTGGGAAAAAGAAGAAAAGACTGATGCCTGCTAGTGACTTGGGTCAGTTTTTGCGATTGACGAGAGAGAATGCGTGAAAGTGGACAAGTCTGAAGGGGGAATGGACGATGAGCGGAGGCGGGGACGACATAGAGAAGGCGTAACGTGTATCTTTCAACGCGAAGACAAAAGTTGACTGATTGACGGCTGATTTAAAACACGATGACTCTTTTTTGCTGGCTCTACCCTTCCTCTTGCTTCCCCCCACAGAAATATAGAAATATACGTTGTGTCAATATATATACAATAATATACACAGAAAGATACATAGTCACATTGTGCGGTAGAATTTGGTTTATCAGAACACTATATTTTTATCTAATTGTAATGACAGAGATGGCTTGCGAGTGAAGAGACATATGATCTCGATTTATTGACAAAGAGTCCAGGATCTGATCTCTAATGACGATCTTTGGTACTGAGAATTTAGAATATCGATGACATCAAACAACATACAAGACTAAATGTCTGAAATATTACGCTGCCTTGCATGGGTTGATTATTTGAGAAAGAATAATTTTCCGCGTTGTTTTTTCTGCGTTGAATCCGAATCCAGTCTTGGAAGGTGCGTATTAGAATTTTGAGAAAATGAGAAAAATATGGTCCAAAAATGACCATTTTTGCAAAACAGTAATTTTTCAAATTGATGGATTTTGTTTTTGTACAATTTTTGAAAGCTAGTTTATAATATTTGTAACTTAATAGAAGAACTATTCTTTCGAACATCCTTTTGTATGAACAGATATTATTTTATGTTTTTTATGCCAGATTTTTACACTATTTTTCATGAGTTTATTGAAATAGACTATTTAGTTTAAGTGACATCAATGTCTATCCAGAGTCTATATGTATAGATATACATATAATAGGAGGTAACATGTACATTGCCTGCAACTCTTTCCAATTAGTTATCTTCACTCTTCCTTCTTCACTCATCAAGCTTCACTGCTCCAATCGTCGGTTTTCTACACCACTCTTATTATTTTTTATTTGACTTTAAAGGAAAATGTGTTGTGGTACTTTACGAAATGGCGTAACAGTTATCGAAGAAGAAAATTGATCTTTTCGCAATGGTATCGTAAATATGACGGACCAGAGTGATCACTTACTTTTACTTAAATACTTTTCTTTGATTTTCTCAAAATCCCGATATGACGCGCAGTTTTTAAAGCCGAATTCAACGCACAAAAATGAGGAAAAACTGTTTTTCGTAACACAAAGTATCTAATTTTGCAGGCCAGTGTTATTTATAATTGTAATACAGTTTTTTGAAAGCTCTATTTAGCAAGAGTTTAAGCCTGGTCTTCTGATAAACGTACTCCTACCGTGCATTCAATGTTTGTATAATATTGTATCACTGCGCGGGCGTGGAGGGCGATTTAAAGGACCGAGGTTTCTTCGTTTTCAGAACTGGAAGAAATGTCGAGCGGCGGTGGCGACAGTGGAGACATCCGGATTAATTTCGAGCGATGCTTTCATAAGGAGTTTAGCACGCTGCAGGGTAAGGCCACGTCGACCGCTGCCACAGTAGGTGGCACAGGCGACGATCAGCTGCAGCAACACTCGGACACCGAGACAGAAACGAAGGCGGCGATGTCGAAGGACAGCATAAGTAGTGCCATATTTAGCGTGATGGCTGGCGAGGCGGAAATCAGCCAGAGCGATTTCGAAGGCTCGTTCAAGGCCGAGAACGAGCGCACGGAGGGCTCGGTGCGAGACTTCTGCGTGAAGGAGGGCGACGTTTACCGGTGCACCGTGTGCCATCGCACGTACACACACATCAGCAATTTCTGCCGGCACTACGTCACCTCGCACAAGCCTAACGTCAAGTACTACCCCTGCCCGGTCTGTTACAAGGAATTCACCAGGAAAGACAACATGGTCGCCCATGTCAAAATCATACATAGTCTTAAGCCGCATATGAGTCTCAGCACCAACAGTGGCAGTAGTAGTAGCAGCAGCAGCATGGGTCAGCCGCGATAGAACACTGACTGAGCACAATCTTGTTTTGCTTTTTCCTTGAGCCGCGTTTCTTGGATCTCGCGAGATGTGACGACTTGTGACGCCAAAAATGTCATAAATCCGTGGTAACGTAGTATCACATTGGATTTTCAATCTCTCCGGTGCTAATGACGGTACATCATGTATTGTTTTAAAAACAGTAAAGATTTCCCATCTATGGGATTGTCGCCACCAAACGCGTAGATTCGTGAGATTGTTAAATTCAAATCTCCGATCAAAATTTAACATGCTAAACGCGACAAGTTGAAAAACTATTTTAATAGTTTTCATTATCTTTGAATTTGAATTTAATACCAAAATTTGAAAAGGTTTTTTACCGTTACCGACGAGCTTTGACCATACCAGTGATTAATAATAGCGAGAACTTGAGCACAAAAGTTCCATAAAATCCATGGTGTCATAGATTGTTTTTTTTTTTTTCTTTTTTTAATACAAAGAATTTTATTTTCTTCTCGGGAAGACAGGACCAAGAAACGTTCGGACGAGGATAGGCAGAAGAGTCGAAGGGAAACGTGCGAGAAAGATCGGTCGAAATATTTTGAAAGAAAGTCAGTGCGCTGCTGCGGGTGAAAAGAGAGGAGGGCGGTAGATAAATACGTGTAAGCGGTAGACAAGTGGCTAATCTTACGGAACGTCTAGAAGGGAACGGATACGCGAGGGATAGATGGGTGTGCAATATTCAATGCTAACGTCATCGTTGGAGTACGCGATACTTGATTTCCGCACGAGCCTTTCCCACATGACTTTCCGGCGCGCGAATCTTTGATTGTCTCGAATTTAGAGTGGGCGTATTTTACAAAATGTATGTGCTATTGTACTAACGTTATGTGCAACGTTGCATGAGATTTTGAGTATCAAAATGGAGAAAGAGTTATATACTCAACATGCGCTTTTCTAATTTCAATTTGCCGAATCATTTTAGAGACACATTACTATCGCTCAAACTGTTGACAGAGCTCTATTTGGATTGCATCGACGCTGCGTAATACGCGAGTACGAAGCGTGGGTCTGAGTCTAATACACGATCTACGACAAACTTTGGCAACTATTGATTGATGCTTTTTTAACTTTAGACAATTGCAAAATTTTTTTTAATCATGAAGACTTTACTCTGAGACGCAGTGTATCATGTTATTCAGAGAATATTTTATGTTGTCCGGGAAGTTTTCTAGTTTTCCTCTATAAAATAAATAAAATATAAAGAAATGCTTTAGAATGCTTGGGAAAATTTTCAAAAATTTGTTTCCGTGAAAATAAAACTAAGAAAACTATAAAACTTTCGATACAATCCGATACATTGTTTCCTAGATGAATGTTTTTATGATTGAAAAGAAATCAAATACCGAACATTACTGATTTCGGGTTTTCTAAAGGTTGACAATATTTTTCGTACTCTTTGCACGCGATTGTCTATAATTCTCGTGATTTTGCAATTTTATTCTTATTTTTAGCCTTGGCTCTGATCCTAATTCCAATGTTAGTTTTTAATCGTCTTTATCGATCTCCGTGCCTTCGAGGACCCATAACGCGCACGCTTCGCTATTTCACATCACGCAACGTTTCTCCGGAGAATTGCAATCTTGAGTACTCTGAGCAACGCCGGAAATTCTAGAAACGATTCGCGCGCACGTAACAAGCAACGGGCATTAAAGTTACAAAATGAACGAGCTTTATGACGCTCGCTCCGAAGGGGCAAGGTGACTATAAAAATGGGGAATAGAACAAAAAGAGGCTTTGCATCGCATCGTAAAAACATAGAGTTTATACAAATTCAATCGATGCGCTTGTTGCGTCGTCTCAACGCGGTTCAGCGTCGTACAACGGGAGTACAATGCAGTTGAAAAAATAGAGAAAGATTGGGGGGAGAGTACATTTACTATTGCCTGACTATATTACGTTGCAGAAAAAATCAAATACGCCAGCTCGGCGATACATTTTCACAAGATGCGCGCACACGCGCGCGCGCGCGTTTTCGTCACCCCTAAAGAGATGACAAATGACAAATTTGTGACGTGATGTTCCTCAAAATGTTTGTTTCCGAAAAAAATACAATATCTTGTATTTAATTATAATTTATCTCGAATATTATTAATTGCTACGTTAAGTTCGAAATTTCGACTGCTTATTTAAATTCAGCATTTTATACAATCTTAAATATACAATCTACGTAGAGATTTAATCATTTTTTTCATTAAAAATTATCTTTGATAATGAAGCATATATATATTTCGTAATAGTTTTGGAGTTAAGAGAAATGATTTTAGAATGATAACGCTTGTATATAGGAATAAAAAGAATCGGACTTATAGATGAAAGTTGAGAAGATTTTGAGGACACGTCGGTTACATATTACAGTAGTTTGTTGCGTATAGTTGTTCGGACTATTGAGAGAAACTTAACTGAACTCGTAGAAGACTAATCACTTTCTCATCTTCATATCTTAGAAGAAGGGTGACACACAGTGCGAGACGCGCTCGCGTGCACGCGCGGTGTAAGTAATAAGGGAACTACGTAGACTGAGTAAATGCAATATATATGTATCGATAACCGTTCGCCATGTTGTTGTTGGGCCGTTTTTATCGTAAAGATATTTGGAGCAGGGGGATAATAAGAAGAGATAGGAAGACAGAATGGATGCGCATTCTCGCAAAAGACTGCACAGGGACGGTTTTAACGACACCAAATACAAGATAGTACTGACATTGGATAGACTGAAGGCACCTTAGTAATAACTTAACGCCGCCGCCATGCCATACCGTCTCGTCCGTTTGGTCGAATCCGTTTTCCCGATGTTCCTACCGAACATCTGGAAGCTGAGAGCAGAACTTGGTCAATCAATCGATGTAAAAAGGGTTGTGTATATCACTCATATTGAATAGAACGGAACAAAAATTACCTTACTTTAGGAGATTTAAAGAATCATCATGTAACGTAAACTATATTTATTCTGATATGCAGTTGTGAATTCTGCTATGATTGAAAGGGAAGATATCGAAAAAGAAAACTTGATAGCGTTTATTGCATTTCTTTTGGATACATTAATAAGTGTTTTTATGACTGTCTTATCTTTTTATCTAATTTAAGACACTCCGAGAGAGATGACATTACTTAAATTGTTATGTCTTTAGTTAGAAAGACGTATTTTACATATTGCTTATCGTTGCCATTGAAATGGTCACTGAAGTTACCAAATTTGTCGATTGAAAATTTGTCTTTGATCATTTCTGCGAATTTGATTTCGAGCAAAGTAGTAGTTTCGAGTTAATGTTTACTATACTTTTTTGTCAATTTTATGTTCAATTAATTTTCGAAATTTCTCCTAAATTTACTAAATTATCGAGCTTTGTAATGCATCTATGTTAAATATTGAGTTTATATTATTTTTACAGATAATATAGTTGAAAATGTACAATTCTATGTATTTGTTATTTTACTGTTTACAATTTTATCATCTTGACAATCAAATGTAAAAGTTAGAAGAAGCAATAATACGTGTAATAGTAAAAAAAAATATCATTCTGCTGTTTTTCCACTTCGCGGAAAAACTCGGCGCCGAATTTCCATTGTCCACGATGCTCGAATTGCAAGTAACGTCATCGACCGAAACGGGCCGCGCGGTGGAGCGATAATGGCGGTTAGAGGCTTAGTTGCGAGAGAGAGCACTAAAAAAAAATATGAGATCGTAGCTTACTATATTTTGCACCTTACACACTCCGTCGAGCGCCCTCCCCTGCGCGAGAGGAGCGAGACGATTTGTATACAAATTTTTCACTAGCTGGGCATAGACATTAGACGACTAGAGGCTACATAATTAATAATTATAACTATTATTATTATTATTATTATCGCTACTATTAGCTATATTGCAAATAACGGAGACCTTCGTTGTTACTTTAACGCGTAGCGGGATCGAACGGAATCCTTCGCCTCGCGCGATATCGACCAGTGTTGTTCGTTTGTTATTCGAGAGGTATCTAGCGTTGCAATAATAATAAAAAAAAAAACTATAGTCGTAAGAGCGTCGGATCGTCGCCGCGAGCGATCGTGAGTCCCGTGAACACGATCTCTCTGGAATAAGTGCTCTCGCTTGTTTCGCATCAAAGAGACCAAACGTTGATGCGTCAAATTTTATTAGGACATTCTCCAAAATTATAAGCTTTAAATATATATGGTGTGGCTAAAAAGTTACGGGATTGAAAAGAAACACCAAAAGTTTATAACAAGATTTTATCGCTTTTAATATTTGATATAACGCTCACGGTTTCGTTCGGTCAACACACTCGATAAGATAACGATATAAAGTGCCTGAAAATTTGTTTGAAAATTTTCTTTCAATATCTTCTTCCATTCGTTGATTACATCTCTTCGAATATTTTTAACATCTTCATATCGCTCTACTTTCAGGCGCAGTTTAACTTAACGATCGAATATTTATCAGATTTGATTCCAATCGATTATATTTCGTTTCCACACACGAAATATCCAGCGCAAAATTTGTGGGCGTTTGCTCGAAATTAGAATACTATCTTTTGAGGAAAACATATTCACAATGTTGGAACGTTTCTTTGTGAAATTGTAATTGAACTTACTCGGATAGTTGAGGAGTATTATACTTTCAAGTCACTGAGAGCACTCACTCCGCGTTATTTTTCACGGGGCCCAATGAGATCACGCCGCGATTTGAGCGAACTTTTATAGGCGAATAGAGAGTTCTATAATACTAGATAGGCAGAGGCAGCAAAGATATAGCGAAGTAGAGGTAAAACGGTGAAAGGGACGAGGATTTGTTGCGATAGGAAAACGGCGAAAAATTGTTTCGTTATTAAGGGAGGAGGAATGGATGATGGGCCGTGCCGTGGATTTTCGCGCACTCAGGTCAATTATCCGCAATATTATTCGAAACTTCGAATGGACCAAAGAGCTACTTACCGACCCTTGTAGATTATTTATATCCCGAGAGAAAATACGAAGAAGATGTCTTAGAGAAATCTCGCGCGAGCTTCAAAGGTCCAGAAATACGAGCGCTATAGTAAATTTTTTAACAAATTATATACAATTTATAAAGAACGAGTCCAATAATGTCGCAATTCAAACCGAGAAAGATAACAACATTTTCATCTTCTTGTCAACAACGTATATTTGTTATATTATCATTAAAAAAATATGTTTACGTATAGAATTTATGTATAGATATTTTTGGGAAACATGGAATTTATAGATTTTTGGTAGTAGCTGAAATCGAATTTTAGTTGTCAAAATTTTCCAACTGAATATAACAGACGCAAGAAAGATTATTTTATTCTTATCAGATTTGATTTCTAAGAGTTTTTACGATCTTTGAATTTGACATAAAAATTTTGAAATTTAATTCAATCATCGATTAGTTTGATAAAATCAAATTGTACAATATTCCACATTTTTATATCTATACGTATGTTAAATCATCCGAAAAGTCCGTAGCGTTTTTATAAAATGAAAGACATACTTGACGCTACATACTTGAAAATTTGGATAATCTAATCGAAAATTTTAAGCTCTGAAAAAACGAAAATGCCAAGTATTTCTGAGATCGAGGAATTTCGTGCCATCAGGTCAATTATTATCCGCAATATTTGAAACTTGGATGGACCAAAGAGCATCTAAAGACTCTGATAAGATTCTCGTAAGAAAAATCGCGCGGGGGTTAGTGAGGCGATCGCGATACGATTTTACGGTGGGTTGTCACAAGCCCGTTTAACATATGTGTGCGCGCGCTATGACACGGCGGAAGGATCTAGGAGGTGGGTTTTCACAAAAAAAGAGAAGGCACAAAGCATGTGCAAAGAGGCAGCGGTTAGACAGCTTATATCGATTTTTTTAGAAAAGGGAGGCAAGCAAATAATGTAATTAAATACACTCACATTTGATAATCACTGAGAGGCTAAGACTAACTCAATTAATTAAAGGGTGGGCAAGATGAAATGGATTATCGCTCGAAGATGAAAAGGTCACCGGGGGAGAAAGCGCCTGCAGGCTTTTTTTAATTCGTACTCGATAATTTTTCGGGAAAGGATTTTTTGGGGCGTTGCAATTTTTCTTCAAATTCGAGTCAGTCAATTTTGTTAAATCGAACATTTATCGTTATTGTTGCGTTGTTCCACGAGTTTAAAACCTGCAGAGCTTTTGACGGTGTTTACAGCTTTTGAGAGTCATCATTTTATCAATCTGTACAATAAATTCTTCTCAATTTGGTTCACCCAAGTCGATGTCTGCGTGAGAAGCGCGAAAAAAGGGTGTGAGAACTGGAGATTGTTGTACCTTTGGTACGATTTATCGTTCTCACATTTTTCTAGTTTTCTCTTTCGCACTTTTTTGAAATATCTGCATATACCAAAGGATTACGAATTTATAAATGTAGTAGTTTATGTCACTTATAAAATATTTGCTATCCCGATTACATTTTTAGCTGGAATTTAGCTCGGTCTTTTTGATTTACAGGATGTTCTAAAATTTTTTACAAGATTTTAAAAATTGTATATTATCACCACAAAATTAAAAAAGTAATTTTTAGATTTAGTTTTAAGAGTTTAGTAAGTTTTAAAGTTTTTTTATTTTTTTATTTTTTTTTTTGAGAATTGTCACAATTTTTATTTATTACTTTTCTTCTATCATTATAAATACTATTTTATTTTTAACGATCAAAATAGGCAAGCATTCTTGTAAATGTTATCACATCCTTTATGGCGATCAAGACAGTTACAGAAAGCACTTGGCGACACGCACGACGATAACACGTGAGCAGATCGATCAATCCTCGAATCCGCTTCGAGTCCCTCGTCGGCATCTGAAGGCTCGTGATCAGGATAAATCGTTGTTATCTAGCGAAAATACAGCGACTGATCTTGAGACTCGTTATTCAAATTTACAATGTTTAAAGGGAGGAGATTTAATCGCTCACGTTCGTTGCCTTCTCGACATTGTTAAACTTTTAGAGTTAAGGTTGTTAAAAAGTGCTTTCAAATGTTGCCAATTATATAGGGGAAGGGGAATAATCGGTGGAAGGGAAAGGGCTCTTTTGCAAGAAAATACTATATATATATAGGAAAAAAAAAATATATATATATATGCCAAGTCTCCGTGTGTTTGTACAAAATTAGTGTTCAAATTGTAAAAAGTGTTCATAAGTAAAAGATGAGATGTCGCGAGGATTGATTGATCTTTTCGCGCAAAAATAGCCGCTGTATCTGCGACACGTGTTATATCGCTTTGCTGAATTTTATTATTAAAATTTCGTTTTTTGATACTTGAAATTTGATCCTAGACATTTGCAAATTGCTAGTTACATTTTTATTCAGATTTGGGGTTCGAGGATCTGTACACGATATAAGGAGTTAGATTCTTACGTTAGATTTTGTTAATATTTGTTAAATTGTATATATTACGAAATATTTTATAGCGTCGTTGTATTTTCAAATTTTATTATCAAATTTTATTGCATTTTTATATATAAATTATTACATTATAAAATTGTATCATATACAAAAAAGTTCTATATCTTTGAAATGCACATTGAAATCTACAAGGCACACCTTTGTGCATCTGCAACTGTCTCTTATCTGCATCTCAAGGAGAACGCAAGACTGCGATTAGTGTTGTGTTCTCCTGCGATTATAATTTTCTCACGCTCTCATCGCGGGTGCGACGGTCTCGGTGAATTTCGAACATGTTCGCTCAACATGTTTAATTAATGGATTTTATAGAGAGGCAAAGAGAGAGAGGGATGAATGAGGGAGTCGTGGGAAAAATTTTACGATAGAGTGCATGCGTGCGTGCGTGCGTGCGTTGTAATAAACATATATATATATATAATATCTGTACACTCTCTTACGAAGGTGTCGTGCAGAGGTTTTTCTCGTCTCGTTTTTTCGTTCGTCCCTTCGTGAAAGGGGCTACCAGTCAATATATATTCGTTATTCTTGTAGATTTCTCGCGCGACTCTTGTGAAAAGAAGTCTGTCATCGCGAGAAAAAGAAAGGGAGGGAGAGAGAAAGAGAGAGAGAGATGGAGCCAGTGTAAGAAAGATAAAGAGGAAGATTAATTTACGAGGCTTAAAAAGCAGACTGTATTATCGAATGTAGATTTTAATATATATATATATTGTATATATATATATTAAAAATAAAAAGATACATATACATATATATAATATATGTATATGTATTATATATATATATATATAATAGAAAAGAATCATAGTTTATTATTGCGATTAAATCACCCACGAATGTACATGTATACAAAGAAAAAGTGTCTGTGTGTGTGTATACAAGCGAGCGAGAGAGATAAACATACAAATGATACATATTATACACACACACATTATATATTATTACGATTATTATTATTATTATTATAATTATTATTATTATTATTATATTAT